CTACAGACAAGGCTCTCTTGAGGAGGATTCTCCTTCTCTTCCTACATTCTCCCAAGAATGCTGGTGTTCAGAGAGGTCTCCCCTGCTTTGTGGACTCCTCCCTGCTCACACCCCCAGTCAGTGACTGACACACAAAAGCATCAGGACAGGGCTCAGATCCCCCACAGCACCCAGGCCCTGAAGTTTGTCCCACACCAAGTGCTCTGGCACACAGGCTGTTCCTTCCCCTTCGAGCCTTCCATACACACCCTGAGAAATCCCAGCTGGGAAAACTGAGGACAGATTTGTCTTTTACAGCAGTATCTGTGTTCCAGGAATGCATCTGTGGCATAGAGCACTTGTCTGAAGCACGGAGTGAGTGACTCACAAGCACCACTGCCCATGACTGCACAGCCCAGGATGATCCACAGCCTGCCAAGGGCCAGGAGCTGGAATTTGGCAACTCAGACAGCTTTCAGACTCCTTTGAGGGGAAAAGGAGGAAAAGTGCACTAAGTGTTTAAGACTTATTTCAGCTGCAAAGTAAAACACAAGTTCTCTTGACAATCAGAGCTGTGTAGATGTTAATCATTGGAAAGGGGAGGATGGATCCCAGGGAATACAACCATTACTGCTGCAGTGTGCTCAGAAGCAATTCCTGACTGAAGGAAAGCTAACTCATCTGTGTAATCCCTTTGGAAATGATTGCTAGCAGGTTTTAATGTTTTGCAAAATAATTAACATTTACACTTGATACCAACTCTGTACTTTTAACAATGCTGTACCAAGTGCACCAGTTTCTGTCTGAGCAATCAGATTCCAATCAGAAAGCCAAGGATGTTTGTGGCTGTGAGAACTTCCCCAAGCAGAGTTTAAAGGAATACAGTTTGCTGGCCACTGAGCACGGGATACAAGATGGTTACCCCTCAGTTTATAAAGGGCTCCTTTCCAACACCCCAGTGTTTGCTCACAAGAGACACTTTGCTGTCTATACCAGACACTTATCAAAGGCAGGCTGAGGAGGTTCTCAGGTGCTGAGGTTATTACATCAAACCCTCCAAAGGATGATCTGCTACGTAAGGAGGAGACTTATCTAATAAGATTATCAAGCAACAGCCCTGCCAAGGCTATCTCTGAGAAGCAATGTTGCATGTCTCCAGTCCTGTTATTTCCTTGTATCAACGTGCCTTTAAACTGTACAGCTACACTGAAGGTGAAAAAAGGGAAAGAAACCTGCTGACAAACAGGACCATGGGGTGGTTTGTTATAAACCACCATACAGCAGCTATAGGACTCCAGACTGACACATCAGAGCTTACGTAAGGGAATGAGCAGAGTGAGACAAAGGCAGACCTGAATCCAGGCAAAGCCCAGGCCTGAGCTCCCATCCAGCTGCTGCTGGAGATGCAGGATCCACACATCCCCTTCCTGAGCTGAACAAAACAGACCCAGGGCCCGGAAGACAAACAGTTCACCTGCCAAATCTCTGTTTAATTCAGATATACAAAAATGTAGACAAGCTTCTCTTACAGTCACCGGGAGTGTTTCAGAGTGGGGTATTTCTGAAATGTGAAATAGCAGGGTTTTTTTCTCCTGACAGTACAGTTCACAGGTAAACAAATAGTAGACACTATCTGATTTTCAAAGCAGGTGCCCAGTTTCGCAATGATCTTTGAAAGCTGCCAGAAATCCGAGGTCTAATTAATTTGCAAGTATACACACATCACCCAGGGGAGAGGAGAGCACCTTCCTCAACAGCTACCTACATCTAGTCTGACCCATCTCGTGCCAGTAGACTGTGAAATCCTTGTTTGTTGAGTCTTGTTTTTTGCCTTTGACACTGAACTCGCTGACCCTGCGTGCCTTCACCTCGCTGTTACAGGAGGGTGCAGTCCCTGACTGCCCTCCAGAACACCAGGGCTGGGCTTTCAGCAGCTCCATCCCCGTGTCCTCTGCACACTCCCATGAAGGAGCTGCACAAGGAGTTTTGTAACTCTGTCCTGTGACTTCCCTGTTCTATTTGACCAGGTCAGTCCACCACGCTTTTTATTTACAATAAAATTCCACACATGATCAACTAAGCTGCAGCTATTATTCCAAGTGACCTACACAAGCTGTGCTCAGATCACAGCACTCAAGTTTCTGTGAGCACACTCACCACAATGCAGCCTTCACTACTCCCAAATGCCACTAGGGCAGAGAAAAATATTCCTGTTAGACAATGGAAGTGGGCCTCCCTCATGAATAAAACATGGAGACATACAAGGAAACTAAATGAAATCAGATACATCACTGGTTTCTCCTAATCAGCTCTCAGGAGAAAAGACTTGAAAAATATTTACAGCTGGTCTAAAAGAGACCACAGGCAGCCCACCGGCTCTGTAATGAAAAACTGCTGAAACTACTCATTGTGAGGCCAAGGAACAGATCAATCACCTCCCTTTCAGCGCTGTAACATATTTTCCTACCTAAGCACCCTAATTCTGAGGGTAGTTACCATCACAGGCAACGAAAATACAAATAACAGCAGATTGATACAGTGTCTTTGGAGGAAAAAAAAAATCGCTTTGCTGGTGACAAACAGCCCCACGTAGTTCTTCATAACTGAACCCAGCCATGTGTGTGCTCCTCCCCATGCTGTGCCCGGCCTATTTTGTTACTGATCACAATTTAATGAGGTTCAAACCCAACGTCTTGGGCTCGGAGCCAAACCCTTTCTCTCCTGCTTCACAGGTTTGTTTCTCAAGCTTTAATCCGTACCTTTGTTTCATCTCAGTCTGGGCTGCTAAAATCCTTTGTGCTCAGGTCATACAGTTCCCGCCCTTGGGCCGCGGGCGTTTGGCAGAGAGCTGGATTTTGGTCAAGGAGCCTTTCCACTACCCCTGCCTGAAGAGCTTCGCTGCCCAACCGAGAGCCCAGACACTGCCTGAAAAGTGATCGGCCACGTCGAGAAACACTCGGTAAATTCAGATTTGTTTTTTTTCTACATTGCAACCACAACCAGGTGAAAAACTGCAGCAGACACTGAGCTCCTCATTTACAGGGGAAAAAAATGACTAAATCAAAATCTAGTGCTCCCCTCTATAGACATTCCATTCAATAACCATATTCTGCTTGCATTTGCTGAGGTGACCACCTAAATGAGTCAGAAAACGAGACTTTTATAGGCTTTACAAAAACACTACCCTGATAATGCTTAACAGCTTCCATAAGGTGTGGGACAGGCAACAACACCCAGGTGAAACAACTATTTTGGTCTGTCTGCTGGGGCGGGGGGGGGTGTTCTTCCTCTGAAGGATTTTACAGGGAAATAACCTTTACCTGAACATCATGAGGGCAGACAAGAATAACTTCTTTTTTTAACCTGAACTTCATCCCAAAGGCAGACAGTGTGTAGCAGTCACTGGGAAAAGCTTTCCTTGAGGGAGAAACAACTCACTGACAATCCCAAACCCATGCCAATAAAGAAGTGAGAGGGACAGAAAAATGTCACTGATTATCCCCTTTCATACAGTCTCAACCTTTATTGGTCCAGATTAAATCAGAATGAACACATCTTTCTCACAACTATTTTTACAACTTCTTCCATGCCACTCCTCATGCATGAAATATTCTCTTTAAACACACCCACAAAGGTTATTTCCCCTGCCCCCAAATCCTTCTGCCATCAATCACTGCTCTAAGTTGTTTAAAAATAAGAAAAAAATCAGCCAGTAAACTTTAGGACAGATAAGTTGGCATGTTATATTAAAGTAGCACTGCTATAAATAATGCAAAGTAATCTGTAACTTAATTGATGGAGTTGTAAGTTCTAACCTCTACACTAAGAGCCTAAATATTCTGACTAAAATCAGGTCTAGAATCCTCCACTACTTTCCCTTGGTCCCATTACTGCCTCTTGACACGATTCAAAACTATGAAAGGGGGAAAAAGTCGACGCTTTTAGAGTATAAATAAAACCTATATTGAATAATTTATTTTCAAAGCTCTACCTAATCTGCTGGAAATTTCCATGTTTGTCATCGTGGCTTTCACACAAAGCAATTCCCAAGATCTCAGATGGAGAGATCTCCGATTTTCTCACTGCAACAGAAAGAAACTTCACCCGAAGAATTTAAATACTTTTCCACAGAGCCTTTTCATTAAAGGGCGTTTAAGCACAGAAAAGAGAAGATTAACACCAATTACTCTGTGCACTTTTGATACGAAGTCAAAAGTAAGATGCTGCATCACCAGAGCCCCGGAGGATGCAAAATATTGCATCATACGGCAACAAATAAATGCAAAACATGTGGAGATACCATATGGTATCTCCGCCAGATAAGGGCAGTACAACACATGCTCATTCTTCTGGTTCGGATAAAAAAACTGGCGGTCGGTTTCCGACACAAAAAGTAGACTTTCTTAGGCGGGGAGCGAGCGGTAACTCGGTGTTTTTTGCCACCTTTCCGCCGCGTCCCGGGCGCACAAAGCCGGGCGACGACCCCGCGGGGGGCGATGCTTTTGTGGCGAGCTGAGGTTGTCGCTCGCCCTCCGCCGCTGCCCGCGGTCCGGCCACGCGCGGGCCGGGCAGAGAATCTTCCGGCAAAACGCACAACACTTTTTTCCCCGGAGTGACTTTATTTTTCCCCCCCCCCCTCCGCCGGGTCCGCGCTATCGCCCGCTCCATCTGCGCGCACTGACTCAGCCGCGGCTCCCGCACCCCGCTCCCGGCGCCGGGCACACGCCCTCCTTCCCATCCCTCTCTCTCTCTCCCTCTCATCTTCCCCCTCGCTCGCTCCCCGCTTTTGTGCGCGGCGCCCGCACCTCAGGGGTTGCTCAGAGAGGGGTGCCGGGCGGAGGGTCCCCAGAGAGCCGTGAGGGGGACTCGGAGCGCCCGGGCGGGAGAGCGGCGGGGCGAGGGGAGGGGGGGGCGGCGGAGCCCAACGGTCGGAGCGCGCGCGCCGCCCGGCGCCCGCTCGGGACCCCCCCCCCCTCCCCATCCTCCGCTCCGCTCCTTCCCTTCCCTTCCCTTGGCCGTACCTTGACGAAGAGCTCGATGACGGGCTCCTTGTCGCTCTCCTTCAGCCCGTTGACCGGCACGGAGAGCGCCATCTCCTCCGCCGCTTGCCGCTGCCGCCCTGCAGCCGCCGCCGCCCCGCTTAGCCTCGCGCCGCCGCCGCTGCTGCCACAGCCGGGACAGCGACACCGCTCCGCTCCCCTCCGCCCGCCCTGCGCGCGCGACTGAGGGCGGCCCCGCCCCGCGCCCGGAGCCCGCCGGGGCCGCGCGAGGGTGGGCGGGCCTCCTCGAGGGGGCGGGGCCTCCCAAGGGAACGCAGTTGGGCCGGCTGGGCTGAAGGGGCGTGACCTCCCTGAAAGGGGCGTGACCTCCTCGTGAAGGGGCGTGGTTGTACGAAAGGGGCGTGGCCCCACCGAGGGGGCATCGCTGAGGGGGCGCCGCCGGCCATGGCGGGCGTAGAGTGCCCTCAGGGCCGGGGGTTCCCCTTTGGGACGTGGGGTCCCCACTGTTCCCCCTCATAGCGGCGGGGACACCTCCCTGTCAGCTCGGGACGCCCCCGGCGGTGCCCGATGACCTCACGTCTGGGAGCGGCCCTGGCGGGGAGGTGGTCGGGGGGGGGTGTGTTTCCCCCCACCGTCGCCTCAGCCCGCCTCCCCGTCAGGGAAAACTGTAAAATGTAGAGACTCCCCCACTCATGGACCCGCCACGCCAGAGCGGCACAAACAGCTGCTTTCCTGGCTGCGGGGAAAATCCATTCCAAGAGGCAGCAGAGTTTCCAGCCTGGTTTTTCCCTCACTATTAAGGTCAGGGGCTGAGGAGCCGGACAGAAAATCAGTGCGGGAGAACTGGGCAAAACACTGGGATGAAACGAAACCGAGCTTTTTTTTTCTTTTCCCCCAGTCTTTTCACCAAAATAGCACGGCCTGGGATCACATTTTCCCCATGTGGCTTCGCGCCTCGCGGAGCCCGGGCCGCGGGAACAGAGCGGCTTTTATTCCCCGGCACCTCCACCCTCGCTCCCAGTCCTTCCTTTTATTTTTTTTTTTTTTTTTCCGGGAGCCCAGACTCTGTTTTTAATAGTCTGAGCTCAGCTGCACCTGAACGTCTGGGCAGAGCCGTTCCCAGGGCAGGACGGGGCTGTGGGATCCCCCGAGGTGGCCCGCGGTGACTTGGAGACGCAGCGCTGGGATGAACCATCCCTGTAATTTGTACCCAAATCCATCCCTGCAGCCAGGAATGGCTCCGGATGGAATGGTTACCAACGGAGGATTCGCTGGTAATAAAACCTCCTCCTCTCCAGGGCGTTTTTCTGCCCTCGGTTCTGCATAACCGGATGTCTTTACGCAAATATCAGCTTTGAATGCCCTTGAATTCATCTGGAGCAGGAAAAACTGCTGTCGGCCCCTCTCCGGAGCTGATAGGACTGGGCCACCGATGTGACAAAGTCCTTTTCATTCCCGTTCCTGCAGCTCCTGTACAGCCACTGGCTCCCCAGGAGCCAGTGGAATATTCGTTTCTGTTTGTTTTCCAGAGTCCAAGGAATCTCGCTGATTCACGGGGTGGGACAGCCTAAGCTGGAAATCGGCGTGTCACTGTAACCAAAGCGATGTGGGAGCACGGCAGGACCGTGCCAGGAACCTCCCTCCATAATTGCCCATTAATTAATTGCAGCCGGTACCGCAAAGGGCACCCCCACCTTCCTTGGAACGTGGGTGGGATGGAAGGGAGGGAAAAAAATTTCCCTTAAATGGGATTGTCACAGAAACATTCAATCCATTCATCCATCAGTCTTGGGCTTTCCATTCACGTTGCTGCGTGGCAGGCTAAGAAATTTGCACCAGCTGGGCCAAATGCCCCCAGTAGCCTCAGGAACTGGTTTAATGAGGGGCTTTTATTGCGAGGCCATTGCAGCACGTGGCAGGGAAAGCTGTACCCTCTGTCTGATGGGAAGGGCAGGAGCTGAGTCCTTTTTCCAGGATAAGGAACACTGAGCCAGGTACTCCTCACCACAGCCTTCCTCTCTGCTTCGCCCTCCTCCTCCACCAAAAGTTTTAAAATCACAGGCTTTTGTAAAAGTTTAAACCCTTTCAAAGCCTCCCTGAAGCACAGACCCACCTCCCCTGAAAAGGCAGCGGTTCAGCACAAAGGAACAGCTCTCCCACGGCGCCCATAAAGGTGGGTGTAGAGCAACAAATTTGAGGTCTGTGAGGCGCTCGGGGCCTTTTTATGTTTCACCAGCCCTACAAAGGAGCTGCCAGGGCTGTTTTTCCCTCACCACCGCTGCATTTCTCCTCTAACAAAGGAGCTCCCATGCTGTTCTCTTGCAGAGCAGCTAATAGCTTATTTCGTTTATACCCAGCTGCACCAGCCTTGGCTCTTGTTTAATATCTTTTCAATTATTTCACTTTTAGATGACATTTGCCTGGTTTCTAGCTGCCACCTATCAAACCCCTCACAGTCCCCATTCAAAGGAACCCCCTAATGATGCCCAGAACAGTTCTGAATACTGAAAGCTCTCGATTCTTTCCCAGATCAGTAATCACTGCTTATACTATTCTGGAAGGTTTATTTTTTTTTCTTTTGATAATACTTAGACTTAATTTGTCCAAGCTTTACATAACAAACCACCAGTCCTAACAACCCACAGGGGAATGAGTATCACCCACCTTAACAGTGGTGAGGAATGAGTCAGGAAAGTTGAGTGACTTACTCAAAGCTAAATTTGCACCAAGCCAGGGAGTCAGAACAAAGCAATTCTGGCCCCCTACCTGTGCTCAGTGGGTCACTCCCTCGATATTATTTCATGCTGCATTGAGGAGGTTCATTTCCATTTGGCAGAGCAGCAAAACAACGTTATTATTGTTTCACTTCTCCAGCACTTTTGGCCTTTCTGCAGCGATTTTCCATCTCAGACTTTCCAAGTGCTTTTGAAAGTGGAGGCATCAGATGTTAAAGATATCAAAGCAGGCCTTCTCCTGCCCTGGCCCTCGCTGTTCCAGGGGTGGAATTCGCTGCCACATTGACCCCGGGGGCTCAAAAATGGGATTTCATTTCTAGAGGGAATTTTTCAGGCACTGGAGGAGCTCAGCACACAGGTCAGTGGGAACACAGTATGAACATCCTGGCTTTTAAGCATAATGGAAGAGCTTTGAGAAGAAAGGTGCTGAGGAAGTTTGGAAAGGCACAGACCATCCCGTGCCAGCTGGAAGTGAGAGCCTGTCCTGACTCTGGGGTTCATCAGAGCTCCTTAAAGCAGTGCTGGATGAGGCTCTGAGAAGAACCTGCCCACGGACACCTATTAAGAGAAAGGCAGGAATGACACACCCCGGTTTAAAAATACCAGCACTCTCATTCCAATGCTAATTCGGGATCCTGGGCTGGGATGCTGCAAAGTCCTTCCCTGGAGACTTCCAGCGGAAGGGCAGCGACCACAGGCCCGGGGACGGCGTGTCCCAGTGTCCCAGAGGCTCTGCTGAGGGGGTGCCCCCTTAGCAGAGCAACTCCCCGAGCTCCCATTTCCTTCCCCCATCCAGGCACTGAGCAGGATTTCGGCTCCATCCGTCCCCTGCCACCTTGGCCACTTTGTCATTGCTCCTTCCTGTTTTCTTACCCTGCTCTGAGCAGAGTTTGGGTTTGGAGCTGCTGGGGAGGTCTGAGCCTGCCAGATTTACAGGCAGCGTGGGGGAAATCAAACTTCTGCTGGTGTCAGACTGTTTGCAGTTTGCTGTAATTCCCAAGCAGCTGTCCCTGGGTAGCTCATTTCCATCCGGGGCGGGTGCCAAACTCCAGCATTAGCTGCGGGCTCAGGAGCTGGAGTGAGCAGCTGAGGACACACCGTGTTCCATCGGACCTGACATCTGCCACGGGTGAAAAAACCCCGTGGAAAACAGCTCTCTGCTGTGGGTTGAGGCACAATTACAGGAGCAGAGGACACATCCCATGCTGTTATGTGGGAAGTTGCCTTCATCCCACAGTTTCTGGGTCGCTCCTCTTTTGCACGGTCCAAGTTAACGCCGCTCCAAGCACAGGGGCTGGAGAACTGAATGTTTCTAGGAAATGTTCATCAAGAACTTTTAGTGGCAGTAATTGCAGTCGGAGTCATTTAACAATCAATGTACTTTCCATGCCTTTTTTTTTCCCCTTCCCTGGTTACTGGCATATGGGCCTTACCCCGGGGAGCTGGATGGTAATTAATGCATTTTGTGGTTAAATGTTTGGACTCAGCATCTCACGGCGCCCGAGGAGAAGGGAGGTGGACAAAGCAGGCATTGTCTGTAGGTTTGGGTCTGCTGCCTTGGGTCCTCTCCACGGAGGCACCGTGGGGGCAGGTTGGTGGGAACGCTGGCACAGGCAGAGCTTTCCCCTCGCTCCCTTCAGTGCCGCTGGAACCCCGGGCAAGTTTCAGTGCCCGTCACCTCCCTGTGTTTGGAGGTGGCATCCAAGGAAGGGCAAAGGGAACTTGGCTCTCAGGGCCACCCAGACAACAGGAGGGACTGAATGCCCCACTCTGCCCTTTCAGCAGGAGGCTGTTGCCAGGCTCTGCTCGCCTCGCCGGGGATTCTCACTGCCCTACTTTCCAAACCCAGACACCGGCCTGTTCTCTGCTGTGAGCACCAGCAAACAAAGGGTTTGGCTTCTCCCTCTCGTAAAAAGTGACCTGGAAAGGACCAAGAGGCAGAGTTGGAGCCTCAGCTGCTGTGAAGGGAGCTGGGAGCTGAGTCTGGGTGCTGGGAAACCTCCCTGGGACACATCCCCAAAACAGGAAAACATTCTCCCCTGCAAGGGTGGGGAGGCCCTGCCACAGGTTGCCCAGAGAAACTGTGGCTGCCCCATCCCTGGAAGTGTCTAGGGATGGGGCTCTGAGCGACCTGGTCAGGTGGAAGGTGTCCCTGCATCACTGTGCAGATGCACATGAACAAGAAGTTCCTTCAAGAAAAACCCAAAATCCAGTGCAGTTCTGGTTTGAAAAGTTATTTGGGGGGAAAAAAAAAAAGAAAAAAAAAGTTTCCCGTGCCTGATTAAAATCTCCATTTCCCCACCTTTATGTATAGAAGTTGCCTGAAAGTAAATAAATTAAGGTATTGGCTGTTTTCTTTTAAGGTTTGTCTCAAGGTGATTCAAACACCTGGACT